TTTAAATGCGCTAAAAATAATAGTTTCCTTTAAAACTTTAACTATGAACTTATAACGTCATTACACAATTTATATAATATAAAAGCTTGTCGCAAGATTTATCTGTGAAGATAAATAAAATTTAATAGGATTGTTTTTTTTAATTTCAAATTGTGACTACTGGAACTTACTCAAATCTGGCGATAAGCTTTTAATTATGTATATAAATTGTGTGTACTGCTTCAAAATTGACTTGCAGGATTCTACCCGAACAAACATACATACCGAGTAACTGCGGGTTACTTTGACCTAAAATGTGCACTTTTTTTTTTCAAATAAAATTTTGTGATGAATATGTCACATTTATTTTAAAGTATAAGTTACAAAGTTATAATCCGAAAATAGGAAAAAATAATATTTAAGGTTTAATATATTTTTTTTAATTTTGGGCCAAAGGCCTTAAAGACTGTTACTTTAGCTCGTTGAGTTTTCTCTGTGCAAAAAATTCATTTTAAGGCATGTTGGGGTTAAGTAACCCTTATAATAGATCCATTAGCATACTGAATACACAAATGGATGTTTTTGCCCAAAAATAATTAAGTTAAATAAAAAATATAACTTTAAATTTAGAAAAAATATAAAACTTACCGAAAACCACAGTTTTGCGAAAGTTTGCGCATGAACTTGCGAACTATTTCAGTTACAAAAAATGCCGCGTTACAATGACAACTTGATACAGGAACGATGTCGGTAAAACAACACCACACTGCGCGCCTATATGGCTATCTGTGATTTTCAACTGGAACTATTACGGTCACCCAAGAGAAGACAGGGCGGCAAGTTCAATATTTTTTCTGATTTGGGACAAAGTTTCCCGCCCGAGCTAAAGTAACCCTCACTTACGGTACATACATTGCAAGTTAAATAAAAGCTTTTAATAACAATTAAAAATGTAATGCGACATGCTAAAGATGAACATGCGTTGCCGGTGATGTGTTCTAATAAAAGTTTCACTTTTAACACATTTCTGCTTACTGCAAACTCGAATGTGATTCCAATCAGAACCGAGTTCAAAAATAAAAAAAAAAACAAAAAAGGTTTATTACGATACCACATTTGTTGTACACCAAACCAGAGTGGGTTCCTTCTATTAAGTGTTTAACACCTATAGCATCATCATCTTATGGTATGGTCTTAATTTTATTTCATTAGATTTTTAAAACATTATAAAAAAATTAATTACAATTTATATATTTTATAAAAGCAGTTGCGTGTGTGTCTGTATGCGTGTGTGTCTGTATGCGTGTGCGTATATGTGTGTGCGTGTTCGTGTGTGCATGAGTTAAAAGCACTGCAAGTATGGAGCTTCATCTACTCATAGTTAACTTTTATACACTTCATATGTATATGAAATAGCCAGACCGTAGCCAGAGGTGCACAAGTAGGGCATAAGCAGGGGCGTATTTTAAAGTCTGGTACCCTCACTTAAGATTTGCAACTCCCCCCCCCCCCCCCCCCCCTCTGAGTTAACATCAGTCTCTCTTTTTCATTCTGTATAAGAATGACAAGGATACACTGTCGTCAAATTTTAGTTTAGATAATCATACCAGAATCGACACCATTGTAAGAAGGGATACATTGTAACATAAGGATAATGAAGAAAGAAATTTTCTGTATTATATCCGTCTGATGACAGCTGCTTAAAAACACCTAATAAAACACGTCAAGACAGATCATAGACAAATAAGAAAAGGGCAGAGATATTCCTTAAGTTTCACTGTGCCCCTTGCTACACAGAGTACGTTCAAATGTGCTCGACCTATTTGTAGGGATGTCGAAAGTTGAAAAAAATATCGATATATCGATACATCGATATTTTAAATAATATCAATATCGGCTTCGATATATCGCGAAAAAAATATCGATATATCGGACTAATAATAATGGAACGAAAATTATCTCCCTAAAAATAGACCCTATTTTCGAATGATGACATAGACAATACTTAATACAGAACAGATCATAGATATGTTGAATATCATTAATCTGAGATCCAGTTACGATTTTTCCAGATACGAATTTAGTTAGATCGTGATATGCCGCTAATAATTAAAAAAATATCGGTTTTGATACGAATTTCGATATTGGTTATTTTGTATCGATGTATCGATATATCGAATCAAAATATATCGGCAAAAAATATCGATATATCGATACATCGATATATTTTCAACAAGCCTACCTATTTGAGCCTCACTGTTCGATTTGTATAGGCCAATGTTATGTTACGAGTAGTTGTCACGTCACGGGGCGATCGTTTAACCCTCGTTAATGCGGAACCGCATACATTTGTTACTTTATAAATATTGATGTCTGCCTACATTAGTTGATTATAGTGTAAGACACAACACAACTAACAGATGGGAATGAATGAGGTGTCAGTCGGTGAGCGAGCGAGTGCCCCTCTGACCCGCGCGATAACGAGGTATCTACAAACAGTCTCTCATTCATATCATACCTACCGAACTACTTCAATTACATACTTGTAATAGCTAGGTATAGGTATTTCCCAGTATCTTTTTTTTACAGATACAGTGGTCCAAGCACGAACTTTGCAGCGGACGTGAGATAAAACTGTTGACTCGGTCCATACAAAATTTGAGGATGACCATACGATTACGGAGCTCTTGAAACATCGTGCTTGGCCACAGATTATCAGACTCGTGGTAACAGGAGGATACGACAAGAAAAAGCTACATTTATCATTGATCGAGTCTTCCTGTTTATTCTCGAGGAGCTCGATGGCGCAAGTGGTTAGCGCGTTCCGCTGCGATCGTTGAATTTAATCAACTTTCGCAGTGGGTCGGTCATTGGATGGGTGACCGAAAATTTACTATCTCGAGCTCTTCCGTGCTTCGGAAGGCACGTTAAGCCGTTGGTCCCGGCTGCATCTGCAGTCGTTAGCACCTACCAACCCGCACTGGGACCGCGTGGTAGGTCATGGCCCAATCTCCCCTATTCCATCCATAGGGAGGGCCTGTGCCCCAGCAGTGGGGACATTAATAGGCTGATGATGATGATGATAAGTCTTACTGTTTATTTGCAAGCAAAATGCACGACCCACACTTACTGCTTGTAATTAAAATAACTTTCCGTTGCGTTTGAGAGTATTTTAAAATCGAGGTCATCATTTTTTACGCCAAACCAGCGATGGGAAATTGTTGTCTGAAAATTAAAAATGTTGAACGGATTATGTATGTGTACCGACATTCGCTGATATGCGGTACTGATTTCGCTCATATTGATGTAGCTGTGTGACTCCACCTATCGAAGGACAGCGCTAATTAACCACTTGTTATTGTATTCACAAGTGTACTGATAGCTCAGGACCTGACAGTTTCCAATTATTCAACAGCAAATATTTATGGCTTCAATTTAATTAATCAGATGCTCGCTGCTATTTCAATAAGTAATGATAACGGCCACTTGAAAGAAGCTATAATTAAAATTATACCTTTTTAGCTTCTGAAACTCAGTACAAATATCTGGAGCTGGGAGCCGCGAGACATACACGTCCCTAAGCATAAGTAAAAATATCCCAATGAATATTACTATTTATCAATGGGTAAGACAAAGCAACGTCAATAAATACAATAAATTGTCTTTTACTATTAAGTATCAAGGTAGAAAAGAATGTTTTTTTAAATGATTCCGATAATGAAATTTGATGCCTTGAACTGAGATTATTGAGATTTATATTTATTAGACTTTTTCATTCACCAGGCTTCTCACTGTTGTAGTTATTTTCTTGAGGTTTACCATATCCGACTCATGCTTGTATGGGGCTAACTAACCGCAGTGCATCGCCGCCGCCCGCAGCTCCCATCCGGTCAAGCGGCGGGCCCTCCGCTTCTCAATTAGGCAAATGAATGGCGTGTACCGGACAAATTGATACCAATCATATTGAGATATAGATAATATCTTTATTTACTTGCACCAATATGTACACAGATAATAATACCCGATAGTAAAAGTCAAATCTGATATTGAAGAAAGTAGTGTCCGCATCTGCTCATTTAATTAGCATGTGTGCAGCAACAATACAGAAGAATGGCAAAAGGGCGTAAAGACGATGTTTACTTACTCAAACAGTAGATTATTATTTTTTAGTTTGAGCCTAGGCGCACCTGTAAAGAGTCCTTATATCATCATAGGCATCTTCAATTTTGCGAACCCTTCTGGGTTTTTGCCTTCAGAAGTATGCTGCCATGGTCGATTGAAATCTTCAAAAACTCACATAATGGACCCCGTGTGATGCAGCACGATCTTCTACGTCACGGTCGCCATGTGGTGATGGGGTGTGGGTGACTCACGGGAGAAATCACGACGAGCGTTCAGTGTGGAATCAACATTTTAATTAACTTATTCTACATCTTATATACTACTTACTCTACGTTTACTACGTGCTTAGGGCTAAGATATCTAATCGTATCGGGGATGATTATCATCACGTTGAAGACGTGATTTACACTTCACCACACAGAGAGCACAGATAGCTTTGATATTAATTTGGTCTATGTTGTCGTCCAGCAACAATAGTTAGCTGCCTACAGATGGCCAGTTCATCGCCCATAGTTTCCCAAAATACAAGTCGGTTCATTCGCTTAACTCTGAATATATAAGATTCTGCTTTTATTCATCTACTTCCGAAAAAATAAACCATTGTTCAGTCAATAACTGAATAGTGGTGTATTTTATATTATGTTACATGTCACGGTAGCATTATGTACGGTCACCATTAACCTTGTTATATTCATAAACTCAGGGGTCAATTAAATGGTTCCCTCCCTCTTTTCTAGGATGTTTAGACCAGAATTGAATACATATTTATCCGTTTCGGTTTAGCACACCATTAAAGCTGTAATGTTTTGTTTGCGTTCAGGCGTGCCCGGTGAGGAGGTGACCGCGCCGGCGTCGGTGCTGGCGTGCGGCGCGGGCGAGTGGGCGTGCGCGGACCGCTCGCGCTGCGTGCCGGCCGCCTGGCGCTGCGACACCCACACGCACTGCCCCGACGCCTCCGATGAGATCGGCTGCGGTCAGTACACACCGCACACTATGTATACTGGTCCCGGTCCCGGTCCCGGTCCCGGTCCCGGTGAGGAGGTGACCGCGCCGGCGTCGGTGCTGGCGTGCGGCGCGGGCGAGTGGGCGTGCGCGGACCGCTCGCGCTGCGTGCCGGCCGCCTGGCGCTGCGACACCCACACGCACTGCCCCGACGCCTCCGATGAGATCGGCTGCGGTCAGTACGCACCGCACACTATGTATACTGGTCCCGGTCCCGGTCCCGGTCCCGGTGAGGAGGTGACCGCGCCGGCGTCGGTGCTGGCGTGCGGCGCGGGCGAGTGGGCGTGCGCGGACCGCTCGCGCTGCGTGCCGGCCGCCTGGCGCTGCGACACCCACACGCACTGCCCCGACGCCTCCGATGAGATCGGCTGCGGTCAGTACGCACCGCACACTATGTATACTGGTCCCGGTCCCGGTCCCGGTCCCGGTCCCGGTGAGGAGGTGACCGCGCCGGCGTCGGTGCTGGCGTGCGGCGCGGGCGAGTGGGCGTGCGCGGACCGCTCGCGCTGCGTGCCGGCCGCCTGGCGCTGCGACACCCACACGCACTGCCCCGACGCCTCCGATGAGATCGGCTGCGGTCAGTACACACCGCACACTATGTATACTGGTCCCGGTCCCGGTCCCGGTCCCGGTCCCGGTGAGGAGGTGACCGCGCCGGCGTCGGTGCTGGCGTGCGGCGCGGGCGAGTGGGCGTGCGCGGACCGCTCGCGCTGCGTGCCGGCCGCCTGGCGCTGCGACACCCACACGCACTGCCCCGACGCCTCCGATGAGATCGGCTGCGGTCAGTACACACCGCACACTATGTATACTGGTCCCGGTCCCGGTCCCGGTCCCGGTGAGGAGGTGACCGCGCCGGCGTCGGTGCTGGCGTGCGGCGCGGGCGAGTGGGCGTGCGCGGACCGCTCGCGCTGCGTGCCGGCCGCCTGGCGCTGCGACACCCACACGCACTGCCCCGACGCCTCCGATGAGATCGGCTGCGGTCAGTACGCACCGCACACTATGTATACTGGTCCCGGTCCCGGTCCCGGTGAGGAGGTGACCGCGCCGGCGTCGGTGCTGGCGTGCGGCGCGGGCGAGTGGGCGTGCGCGGACCGCTCGCGCTGCGTGCCGGCCGCCTGGCGCTGCGACACCCACACGCACTGCCCCGACGCCTCCGATGAGATCGGCTGCGGTCAGTACGCACCGCACACTATGTATACTGGTCCCGGTCCCGGTCCCGGTCCCGGTGAGGAGGTGACCGCGCCGGCGTCGGTGCTGGCGTGCGGCGCGGGCGAGTGGGCGTGCGCGGACCGCTCGCGCTGCGTGCCGGCCGCCTGGCGCTGCGACACCCACACGCACTGCCCCGACGCCTCCGATGAGATCGGCTGCGGTCAGTACGCACCGCACACTATGTATACTGGTCCCGGTCCCGGTCCCGGTCCCGGTGAGGAGGTGACCGCGCCGGCGTCGGTGCTGGCGTGCGGCGCGGGCGAGTGGGCGTGCGCGGACCGCTCGCGCTGCGTGCCGGCCGCCTGGCGCTGCGACACCCACACGCACTGCCCCGACGCCTCCGATGAGATCGGCTGCGGTCAGTACGCACCGCACACTATGTATACTGGTCCCGGTCCCGGTCCCGGTCCCGGTGAGGAGGTGACCGCGCCGGCGTCGGTGCTGGCGTGCGGCGCGGGCGAGTGGGCGTGCGCGGACCGCTCGCGCTGCGTGCCGGCCGCCTGGCGCTGCGACACCCACACGCACTGCCCCGACGCCTCCGATGAGATCGGCTGCGGTCAGTACGCACCGCACACTATGTATCCTGCTCCTGCTCCTTTGTAAACCTGCCAACGTTGACTCTATGCTGGTGATGTTTTGCTAAGTACACATCTGTAATTTTTATTTTATATGGGTGAATCGCAAATAATGTCACTTCTCAGGTTAATTTTGAAAGAAGTTTAGCTGCTAGTCGATCCATACGTAAAAAAATATCCCACTAAAGTAAGCCGAATCTTGTAGCAATCCCGTAAGTTACATAAACTACTATAATGCCAGAGCTTTGATCCAGGGTGTGTGGTTTTGTGCAGTGTTTCCCAACACGACGTGCAGCGGCGGTCAGTTCCGGTGCGCGCACAGCGGGCTGTGCATCGCGGCCACGTGGCGCTGCGACGGCGAGGACGACTGTGGCCCGCACGACAACTCCGACGAGGATGTCTACATGTGTACGTGCCTTCTGTCCTACTCATCGTTCTTACCGTTAGAACAAGTTATTCCGCTCTGTGTCCTTTATATCCCCCGGCGTGTTAAGACACGTTTTTAAACGCAGAGAATGAAAAAAAAATGGTTTTTTTCATATCTGTTACCAGCCAAGTTGATATTAGGACAAACTAGTTTTTCCCTAAGCTAAAACAGTTCATTCTTTGAGTGATAGGATAAACTGGTACAGAGTAGAGTATACTGGTACTTCCTATGGCCGATAGAAGAAACTAGTTTAACCTAGGCTTAACTAATTGAGCCTTATATGAATGATTTGTTAAGTATACTTTAGGATAAACTGGATTGACCAGATCTATAAATAGGGAATACTTAAACACCAGAACCATTATAATCATGATTAATTACATCATGCATTAATTAAATAAATGAAATATTTTTTTCTAATTTTGCATGGTGTACTCTGATGGCGTTTGAAATTGCAGAGTTTTCTAGCAGTTGCACCTGCTTGTCAAATAGTACTTTACGCATCTGCACCTTATAAAAAGCCTTGCCCTGATCCATTGAATGTTTTGTGGTTAGTCCTTAGAGATATTTATAATTTTTATATTTTAAGCATTTAACTGTTCGATGTTTAAATCTAAAGAATAGAGAAAATTCCACGCGGACCAGGCAGCAGACGGGACGGTATTTAGAGATATTTCAAAAACATGCCCACCTTCGAAAATTTCTCGCTTATTCACGAAGAAATTTTTCGCTAAGGCATGTCTCGCTTAAACGTTTTTGGCTTGGCAGAATTAGTACAGACTAGGTCAAACCTATTTATCCTGAAGTGTACTTATTCATATTAGGCTCAACTAGTTTAGCCTAGGTTAAACTAGTTTCTATATCCATGTTATACGAACCAGTTTAGTCTAGTCTGTATCGGTTAATTCGTCTGGCCACGGGTAGCTCCCTGAATGTTGCCCGTGAGAGCCACCAGGCAGAGTAAAAGAAATCCAAAGGGCTGAAAATAAAAGAAGTTGTTGGTTAAACGGTCTATATTAAAAAAAAAACTAAACCCTAAAACGAATATAAACAAAACTAGCTCCGGATAGGGGTGAATACGGGGTGGGGCTTCAATGGGTGCAATAGTTGGTGTGTGTTGTGCCGCAAAGGGTAAAAGTTACAGTCACATACAAAAAAACTCAATCCCTAAATGGAGATACCACGGTTCATAGGCACACTAAACTAATTAACACGCAAGATGCATCGACCTCGTGTATTCCTCATTATCACCGAATACTTATGGGAGTATATTAAGTGCCCCTCCCAGAACGTCAGGAGTTAAAAGGCAGGTGACGTGGCCGTGGTAAACCTCGTCCTAATGACACCAATTTCAAGCCAATAAACAATATGATGAACTTATAATTTCCCCGTCACTGAAACAAAAGCGTGTAGGATTAATAACTTGAAGGTACTTTGGAAAACCTATCCCGCGTGACTTCTCCCTCCTTACTCCTCTCGAGAAGAAAGGAAAGGAGAAACAAATATCTGAGCGTTTCCAAACATAAATATTTTTGGACAATCACAAAGAACTGTCAAACGACGCTTCAAATCATTAAAAGGTGTCTGTTTGCTACCACAACAAACGTGTCATCGAAGTGCGTGACACGGAGCTGGCAAATATGCTTTTTGGGACGTTGTTGCCATTGGTTTGCAGTCACCAAGTGCCGTCCACGCCATCTTTTTTCGACGCTTTTCATGCCAAACTGAAGCGACTTGAAATTTTTTGTTTGTATTCTGAACAAATATTAATTTGAAAAGTTGATGATGAAGGCTGCTGCAAATACCAGCCAATGATATTAAAGGAACGGTACTTAATCCTGTAACATCCTGAAATCTACTATGCGCCTTCGCGCCAAAATTCAAATTTGTAGGTTGCCGGAACACACTACGATGCAACCGAAAGGATGAACTGGTTTGGCCTAGGAAAAATTAGTTTGCCTTAAGATCGATAACCTTATCTATGGGCTGGGCCGAGGCTTTCTCTTTCTAGACAGTTGTTAATTTCATGTACCTAATTGTTGCTCATTATTATCTCTCCGGCTATGATACAAAGAACACCCGTCAAGTCCCTCCATCATACTACTCGTCTCATTCACAAGCGCGTACACAAAATTATCCCTGTTACTTTACCTCACAGCGACATCAGTATCTTATTCATCTTCAACACAAATTTTATTTTACTTATTATTTGATATGGTTGAAATTCAACTAGAAAGACTACTAATAAGCCCATGATAATGAAATATATAATCCCTTTTGTTTGATAAAAAAAATAACAAAAGCTACAAGCACTATGCAGTAAAACGTTATTAAGAGAGTAAAATTCACCTATAAACAAGTTTTTTTTATTCCATGCCTATTATCTCGCTGATAAACTCCATGATAATTTATAATAAGGTTATGAGTAGCAAAATCTGACAGCACATAGCAGCAAACCTTTAGTAACAGATTTTTTTCTGAAAATTTAAATAAACTTAGTATTTGAATGATCCAAAAACCTCTTACACATAATAAGTAGTGCCAACTTATTGGTTTGATTATTGTCATGGTGTTATTGTATCGCACGCAGGCAACAAGGATTTGAAGTGTCCGGCCAACTCGGCTCGATGCGCGACGCCCGAGGGCGGACACTTCCAGTGCGTGCCTGTGGGCGCCTTTTGCGACGGAAAGAGGGACTGCCGCGACGGCAGCGACGAGTGGGACCAGTGTGCCAAATGTATGTACACACACACACACACACACACACATCCCTCGGATCAATATATAAAGCCTAAATCAAGTCACATATGAAAGTTGAAAGCTAAGCCATCATTCGCAAATGTTGAGATCTTCTCAAAGTTGAGGGTAGATGTATATTAGGACTGGATGATCTTATCTCAAGGCCCGCCTTCGGACTGTCAGCAAGATTTTCTTACACACGTCACTCTGCGATAGCATACATGATTATGTCAACGCTATGTACTTGTAATGATTTCTTGTAGTATTTTGTTCATTGTTCTACTACCTTATAATATTATAAATGTGCAAGTCTATGTTTATTCGTTTTATAATTTCTTAGAAATGGCTGAACGCATTTGAGTGATATTACACTATTTAGGCACACTATTTATTATCTGAATTTATTTAATTTTTTATTAGTTTTTTTTTAGAATTAGAGTGACTTTAATACTTTCTCCTCTGAAAAACATTTGTTTTCTATGGAAACTTAAGACTGAGGAGCTCGATGGCGCAGGTGGTAAGCGCGGTCTGCCTGTGATCGTAGAAGTTAAGCAACTCTCGCAATAGTCGTTCATTGGATGGGTGACCAAAAACTTATTATCTCGAGCTACTCCGTGTTTCGAAGGTATGTTAAGCCGTTGGTCCCGGTTGCATCTGCAGTAATTTGCACCCACCAATCCGCACTGGGCCCGCTTGCTGGGTCTCGGCTCAATCTCCCTTTTCAATTCATAGGGAAGGCCTGTGTCCTAGCAGTGAGGACATTAAAAGACTGATGATGACTGATAATATTGGTTTACGGTTAGATTCTCTGGAATTTTATCTTCAATAAAGGAACCTTTGCGACTTTTAAGTCTAAGGTATTGTATGATGCGAATGTGCACCTTACTCGCATTGTAACGGGGTCGTCATTCGCCCGACAGATAGCTCGGAGTCGTGCGCAGATCTGAACTGCGCTCGAGGTTGCCGCGCCACACTATCGGGCCTCGCCTGCTTCTGCGAGCCCGGCTTCGAACCGCACGACGGCCGATGTGATGGTGAATATTACAATCTTATTCTATATACCTATTCTTAAGAGCCCTTTCACATTTTTTGCAAAACATCGTAGTTTTTGAGCGCCTCGTTTACCCCCTAAGATAAGATTTTGACCATTTCCAATCGAAGCAAAAAGTAGATTCACTCTTCCTATTGTAAGTTAATGTAGAATATTTGCAAATACTATTTTCCTTTTTTTGTACTGATCGTTCTACTGCAGCTAGTTTACGGAAAAAAAACGATAATATGCACAACTTCAAACTTGGGATTTGAACCCGGGACCTCTCGAGTCGGCGACACCATGAAACCCGGCGTACAAACCACTCGGCCACGGAGGTCGTCGCATCACTCGTATGTTTAGTTCTCGTTCTGAGGTACACCCAAAGGCAGCGATCGACAGTGTTATAATATATCGTTGCAGATACGGACGAGTGTTCAGCGGGCGGATACTGCGCGCAGCTGTGCTACAATAACCGCGGCGGGTACACGTGCGCCTGCGCACCCGGCTACCGGGCCCTGGGCCAGGGGCATGGGGTCTGCAGCCCCGTCAACGGTCACTATACACGATATGCATGCGCATAATATATCTGTTGTCATACTGTGCTACAATAACCGCGGCGGGTACACCCGGCTACCGGGCCCTGGGCCAGGGGCATGGGGTCTGCGGCCCCGTCAACGGTCACTATACACGATATGCATGCGCATAATATATCTGTTGTCATACTGTGCTACAATAACCGCGGCGGGTACACGTGCGCCTGCGCACGCGGCTACCGGGCCCTGGGCCAGGGGCATGGGGTCTGCGGCCCCGTCAACGGTCACTATACACGATATGCATGCGCATAATATATCTGTTGTCATACTGTGCTACAATAACCGCGGCGGGTACACCCGGCTACCGGGCCCTGGGCCAGGGGCATGGGGTCTGCGGCCCCGTCAACGGTCACTATACACGATATGCATGCGCATAATATATCTGTTGTCATACTGTGCTACAATAACCGCGGCGGGTACACCCGGCTACCGGGCCCTGGGCCAGGGGCATGGGGTCTGCGGCCCCGTCAACGGTCACTATACACGATATGCATGCGCATAATATATCTGTTGTCATACTGTGCTACAATAACCGCGGCGGGTACACGTGCGCCTGCGCACCCGGCTACCGGGCCCTGGGCCAGGGGCATGGGGTCTGCGGCCCCGTCAACGGTCACTATACACGATATGCATGCGCATAATATATCTGTTGTCATACTGTGCTACAATAACCGCGGCGGGTACACCCGGCTACCGGGCCCTGGGCCAGGGGCATGGGGTCTGCGGCCCCGTCAACGGTCACTATACACGATATGCATGCGCATAATATATCTGTTGTCATACTGTGCTACAATAACCGCGGCGGGTACACCCGGCTACCGGGCCCTGGGCCAGGGGCATGGGGTCTGCAGCCCCGTCAACGGTCACTATACACGATATGCATGCGCATAATATATCTGTTGTCAGATTTAATTTTAGGTTAAGAGAATAGGGATGATGACGGGGTACACAGTTAACGAAATTCTATTTAGTCCGTGTCAGTTAAATGATCAAAAAATAATGGACACGTATTTTTTGCTTTGGGCAATCAACCAAAAAATGACAAAGTTATAGCGCGTCAAAGTTTGAGAGTGGGGGCTCGTGACGTCATTTTTTAGTGAATTTTCACTTAAAAGTGTACCAAACGTGACGTCGTGCGACTTTTCAAATCAATATATCGCTGCAAAAAAAAAACAAAAAATATCAAAAAAGTTTATTACGGTACCACATTTGTTTTACATCAAACCAGGGTGGGTTCCTTCTATTAAGTGTTAAACACCTGTACCAGAAGGAACCACTCTTCCATAGCATCATTAATATTTCTTATGGTAAGGTCTTTTCATTGGATTTTTAATACATTGTAAAAAAATAAAAAATATATAAATTATAATTTATATAAGCGGTTGAGTGTGTGTCTGTATGCGTGTGTATGCGTGTGTGCGTGTTCGTGTGTGTGCATGTGTGTGCATGTGCGTGAGTGTGACGAGTGTACGTGAGTATGTGTGTACAAATGCTCTTGCTGCTGCAATGTTTATATTATGTGAAAAAAGAAAAAATACGCGTCCAATACTTTTTGATAATGTACCTGATAAACGAAGAATAAAAAAAAATTGTCATCATCCCTATTGTGCACAGTTAAAATGTTTGAATTATTAAAAAAAAAAGGAAATGTAGTAGTCCTACATGGTGAGAGATGATTTGGTTAATTATTTTATTAGACAGTAACGTGTAAATTGCATTTAGAATTCTATTTTAATAACGTTTATATCAAATACATTGCAATGTTATTATTAAAATATATACTAAAATTATAAAGGTGACAGTAACTCTGTCTATCTATTATGCGTTCACACCTAAACTGCCGAACTGCTTTTCATAAATTTTAACATCTAGACTAGACAAACGGAACGTTGGAGTATACATTCTGTTGCAAAATTAAAACTTGAAATTGTGAAATACAAGAACCTATACGAAAGGTCTACTTATCCGTTACATCGGCTATGTCTTTATTATCTATGGATTAATTTTAAAGATCACTCGATAAATTCGAACCAAAAACTTCATTCAAAAGACCTCATGTCACAGTGGCGCCAACTGGTAGCGTAAATTCTCCTAAATCTCCATTATGAAAGTACGTGTATTGTTGTGCAGATCCGGAGTCTCAGCCGCTGTCCCTCCTGGTGGCCACGGAGCACGGCCTCCGGCGAGTGACGCCCTCCCCCTCCCCCTCCCCCACCCCCTCCCCCTCCCCCTCCCCCGCGCCCGCGCCTCCAACCAATCGCACTGCGCTGCAGGCTCTCCACGTGCGAGCCTTCGACTTCCTCTACTCCAACAAGTAAGTATAGGTAGCGGCAAACATCTCGGGTAAAACCAGACCTACACACAAATAAACTTGTGCAGTAAAGTTTTTGTATGCAAAATTGCTCCTACGCAGGCTTCCTTGCCTATGGTCGTTGCTCATGACGTTTGCAGGGAGGTATCCTACAAGCTGATGGTGCGAGTGGATAGCGCGTTCGGCTGCGATCGTTGAAGTTAAGTTACTTTCGCAGTGGTCAGTCATTGGATGGGTGATCAAAAATTTACTATCTCGAGCTTTTACTTTACGTTTTGATTACCATTATGATGCGGGATTTATTCCATTGTTTTACTATTTTTTACAACAATATAAATTCATACTTTATGAACATTGAAGTTCGTCGCGTAAAGTCCTTGGACGTACTATCGCGGAAATTTGCGCTCTGTCACTTGGCGAACAAAATGCTTTGAACGGTTTTCTACAGTAGTAGTATTTACTACGCCCCGCCTTCGCGTCGGACGCGCCAATCAGGGCCGCCGCACAAAAGTAAGACAGAGAGCATTTCATTGATTGAATAATGAATTGAATTGCATTTGTTTTAGTTGCAATTTGTCATCCGCATCGTGATCGCGACAGCGCCATACGAAAAAGTAAGACAGCGATAATTACATGTCTATGAATGAAATTTTACTACGCCGCTACCGCAAACGATTATGGCATTATGGGTGACAGAGCGGGTCTTTCCGCGAGTGTACAAGAGTTTACGGACAGTCCAGACGTTATGTCGACTTCGACCGTAATGCCGAAGTGTAATACAAGCATTTCACATTGCTATTTGTGTTTGGTATTTATAAACTTGACATCAGTATACCTCATCACCTCATGAAAGAAATATATAAATCTCAAGAAATGGATAAATTGCTGAAGTTTACAAACAGCAAGCACGAATGGCCATATGAAGTGCTAGTTTTAAAGATAGAAGTTTGGCATACTTGACAATCCTCCGAATATCCTGGTCGTTGCGCTGAGTGTGTCTGTGGCATACGAATTATTCTGAGATGTTACTCGCGTTAATAAAGAACCGAATCAAAAATGACGACCCATGATTTTCTGTCTTGTCGCTCATAATTCGATCACGTTTTGGGAACCAAAGGGAAATATTAGACAGAATTCGTACCTGCAACATCCGCCCGGATAGCGGTTCGAAGTTACTGTTTATGGTCATTTTATCTACTCTTTTTCATTGTTTTCATGTTATAATATTGTTACTATGAAGACTTAATTTTCTATTGATAAAAACTCGAAAAAATACAGTTATTTTATTTCAAGGCACATTTTCATTCAATTGCTAATTTATTTCCTAAGGATCAGAAACAGTTACAATTCGAATCCTGTCTGATACTTGCCAGGATATGATATATAACGCGTTTTTATCACGTTCAATTGTCAAATTTGCTATGGAGTTTGACAGTTGGACGCGATAAAAAACGTAATATAATGTAAATTGTAGTGTTCATGCTACAGGGGCTGGACCACGTGCAATATTTTATAACAGACCTGAAATAAAAATACTTATAACAAAGGTAAATAAATTATGTTTATTAAGTAAAAAATGTGGATTACAACCATATGGCCCGCTTTATGGTAAGCGGCCGGCGCCCGTTGCAATACTGAGCATACACCCTGGCAAACTCTTGAGCAACGACCATAGACAAGGAAGTCTGCGCAGTAACAATTTACATACTTACAAAAACGTCTACAGCGCAAGTTTATCTGTCTCTGGTTTTGCTTAAGAAGTTTGCCGTTAGCTGTATCACTCGCGACGTTTCTTACTCCGTAAAGTCTCGGAAGCCTTACTTCTCTGTTGTCTTCATTACGATTAGTTCCACTATAGGGGTGATGACGGGGTACAGTAAACGAAATTCTATTTAGTCCGTGTCAGTTAGATGATCAAAAAATAATGGACACGTATTTTTTCTTTGGGCAATCAACCAAAAAATGAAAAAGGTATAGCGCGTCAAAGTTTGGGAGTAGGGGCTCGTGACGTCACTTTTGAGTGAATTTTCACTTACAAGTGTACTCAAACGTGACGTCATGCGACTTTTCAAATCAATATATCTCTGCAATGTTTATATTATGTGAAAAAAGAAAAAATACGCGTCCAATACTTTTTGATAATCTACCTGCTAAACGAAGAAAAAAAAATTAGTCATCATCCCTATTGTCGCCATTCTGAGTATAGTATGGAAAAAATAGATGGGTAACGTGGTATAATGTCGTTTAGGTCAGTATGCTACGTGCACCACAACGTGAGTCGCGCTGGATTGGTGTGCGTCGATGCTGATGATTTGTCGCGTCGACGCAATCTGCCTACACCCGATCTATTCCCCGACATCGACTGTGAGTCTTTCTGCCTCTTTCTTTCTCATGCCGGCCATGTGAAGTACAAGGCTATTTGTATTTGCTATTTGTAAACTTATTGTATGGAATCTGTTATATTTTTCTCTAATATGGGTATGGATGAATATATCTGAATGGATTTGGATGTGATAGGATACACATATGATTTATTACCCGAGTCGAGATGTAGGGTATTTTTTCCCAGAAATTTATAAGCTTCCTGTGGCAGTCGCGCGCAGAGCGGTGTTGTGAGCGCACGCGTACTACTCTCGTCGGTAGATTTTTCAAAGATACCCGTTTTTCGTAAATGTAAAAATTGACGAAACGGACAATAATAATTTAACCGCGAGTGATAAGAGTGATACGGAAGTAATAAGAGGGTGCGAAAAAGAGCTCGGGAGGATGTTAGAATGGGATAATTTAGGTACCGAGTCTTACGAAGTAAGCCGCGGTAAGAGACCACGCGAGGATAGCGAAGAGAGTAAAGAAGATGAGTTTACTACAGTCAACAGGCGAAAGTCGAAGCGACTGATCAGAAGTAATTCTACGAACAATCAGAAATTTACCCTAATGGAAATAGAGACAAGAGACAGCGAGGAATATATTGAAGTTGGTGTTATGTCGCTTCAACCATTATTGAAACAAATGGCACTAGCAAAGCTGTTGAAGTCAGAAAAAATTGAAAAAATTTTGAATATTAAATATAAAAGTCCATACAAAGTGAATATAGGTTTAGAAAACAAAATTGAAGCCGAAAAATTGATTAATTGTTCAAAATTTAAAGAATTAGGTTACAAGTGTCAGTTGACATTAGAGTCTCGTTTATCTTACGGAGTTATAAAAGGTATAGATATTGAAATGGATAATAATGAGATATTGGATAGTTTGCAGTGTACTGAAGAGATTACATCTGTAAACAGATCGAAGAGATTGAACAATGAAGGAAAATGGGTTGACTGTGAAACAATACGTATAGTGTTTAACTGTCCGGTACTACCACAGTATGTGTATGGTTATGGTTGCAGGATAAAAGTGGAACCTTATGTGTTTCCAGTTACACAGTGCTCAGGGTGTTGGCGATTTGGACACATTATAAAATTTTGTCCCACAAAAAAGTTGTTTTACCCAAGTGTGGACAGAATCACGAAAATTGCGATAAGAAAGACGTTCAATGTCTTAACTGTAAAAGAAAAGTATATCCGCAAATTAATGTGCGAGCACAATGCCACTTACAAACGAGCCATGCAAATATATCTAATAGAACAACAAACTAAATTAAAGAATAAAAATGACCAAAAAACAACAGAAAAGCAGGATATATCAAACTGGCAACAGGACATATCGTCGAAACCTCAACATCTTCAACGGTCATACAGTGAGGTGGTTACAACGAAGACGCACACTAAGATGCCGGCACACTTTTCTGAAGATGAAAGCTCACGTTCAAGTGAAAATATTAATGTTAAGAAGTCAAAGATAAACAAAAAGAAGAAAGCGACGATGGAGCGTGTAAATTGTGAATCCACTAGTGTAAATATAAAACAAAAATCAGAAAAACGTAGTGATGAAAAAAGAAGTGAAAAGTTTGACTTTAAAGTGTTTTGTGGTAGAATAAGTGAAATTATTATGTCTGAGAATGAGTTTAATAAAAAATGTGTGCTAATCATGAAGGAAATTTACGAAGGTGTGAAGTTATTTTTCTTAAATATTGTAAGTAAAAGTAGTTTAATAGACTTTTTTATTTATTGGTTTATATAATGGATAGTTACAACCGAAATGTTAATTTAGATGTAAATATATTGCAATGGAATGCGCAAAGTTTAACTCCAAAAACAAGTAGTTTTGGCACACTTATGATACAGGAGAAAATACATGTCGCGGTGGTTAGCGAAACATGGTTGGATCCTGAAACTACATTAAGATTGAGCGGTTTTAATATATTCAGAAAAGATAGATTAGATACTTATGGGGGAGTCGCTATAATTACTCACAAGTCGATTCAATGTCGAATTTGTCCGATCGTTCTTACTAATAGTGGTATTGAGGTAGTCGGTGTCCAAATACTCAATTGCACAGATTTAAAGTACATTTTTTCGATTTACTGCCCCTCATCAATTAGAACGACAGCGTCTGATTGGAATGAAGTATTTTCACTAGTTAGTAGTAAGACTATAGTTGCTGGAGACTTCAACGGCCATCACTCAAATTGGTCATACAAAACGGACATAAGAGGGAGTCAAATTTTTGATGCTGCTCTTGATAATGGTTTCATATCTCTTAATGATGGCCGACCTACAAGAGTAAAAATGGTAGATGGAGTTTTGAGTTAATCATCGCCGGATATTACGTTTGTGTCATCAGACATCGCTACTAATTTTAACTGGTATACAACTAACGAATGTTTAGGTAGTGACCACCTTATTATCCTATATTCTATAAAATATACACAGTCATATAAAAATATAAAAAAAAGAAATTTTAAACTAGCAGATTGGCAAAATTATAAAAGGTTAACTAAGTCTGCTTTCAATTCATGCAATTTAGATAGAAATGTACAAGAAATGTATAACTACTTTTATGAACAAATCATCACCTCAGCAGATAAAAGTATTCCATTTAAAATATACAATTTAAACCCAGCTACAAAGTTCAAACCGAAAGAATATTGGAATCCGACTTTATCTCATATTGTTGCTCAACGCAGGCTTGCACTTAAAACATTTAGGAAAAATCCCACGCCTGAGAACTTAAAAAGATTTCAAAATTAAGTATCCGAGGCTCAAAGGCTTATTAAAAAAGCTAAGGCTGTCTCATGGCAAAAATTCTGTACAAGTTTCGAAGAGACTACAACGGTGTCGGATATGTGGCGCCGTATGAAATGGATAAAGGGTGGTCAACAGCCTAGACAGTACCCATCTGAAGAGAAGTTTAATGAATTATTATGTTCCTTGACTCCCGATTCAGCACAGAATACCTGTCCAATGTTTAACTCTAAAAATGAGTTATTGGAGTCAGATTTTACATTACAAGAACTAAACAATTGTATTAAAAGTAAAGACACGTCTCCTGGAGAAGATGATATTACGTATTCAAAGATTTTCAATCTCGCCGACGAGGGGAAACAGTACCTTCTAACATTGTATAATATGATTTTTCACTCTAGTTATATACCAGAACAATGGCGGGATATTTCAATTATACCTATACCTAAACTTAATTCTGATAAATTAAGACCTATTTCCCTTATTTCTTGCCCTTGTAAAATACTTCATTCCATGATAGCTAAGCGCATCGAATGGTATATTGAAACAAAGTGATATCACCTTATACCACAGGCTTTAAAAGATGTCATTCTACTGTAGATTGTCTTGTACGTTTTGTTACTGAAATACAACTGGGATATACTAAAAATGTACCTACATTAGCTTGCTTCCTAGATGTTGAAAATGCGTACAATAATATCTCGATTGATAGTGTTACAGTAGCTTTGGATGAACTGCGAATTGGAAGGTCTATTTGTAAATATTTGTGGCTTTATTTAAGTGAAAGACATCTTAAGATAAAAACCTTGGTAGACAATAAAACCATAACTAGATGGACGCATAAAGGTTTAGCTCAGGGGGACCCTATATCCCCTCTTCATTTTAATATAGCTACTTACAAAATATGCAATAAAATTACAGAGACTAGTGTATACCAATATGCGGATGACTTTGTAATATTTATAAGCAATAAAAATATTAATACCTGTACTATTAATATGCAAAGAGCAATAAATAACATAACAAACTTATTGAAAGAACTCGGTTTAGATTTGGCGCCTTCCAAGTCAAAGATTTGTTTATTCAGTAGAGGCTTTAAAAGATATAATATTGACCTTATTATAAACAATTATCAAATACCACTGTCAGAGAACGTTCGTTATCTTGGAATGTGGATTGATAGATGCCTCCGTTGGAAAAAGCAAGTCAACGAAATAGCAGAGACGTGTCAAAAGTATTTAAATTTGTTAAATGTTTTAGCAGGATCGGCATGGGGAGTCCACCCTAAGCATCTTAGAACCCTATACATATCACTAATTAGAAGTCGATTAGATTACGGTTGTTTTTTGTATCATAATTGTGCCAAAACTACATTATAAAAATTAGAAAAAATTCAAAATCAGGCTCTGAGAATTATTGGAGGTTTTATTAGGAGTTCACCAATTCATGTTATGCAGAGTGAACTTGGAATGCCACCTTTATTTATTAGGAGAAAATATCTTGCCTATAAGTATTGTCTTAAAGCGCTGTCGTTTCACAACAATGTTACGGTTGAACTTCTAACAGAACTTAATACAACTTTCGAAAATTCGTACTGGAGAAACAAAACACTGTTACCAATACTAGTTAGAGAAACAGCAGAAAGTAATGTTTCTTCAGATTATCCATTAAATATGTACACATTAGACGTGTGGATTAGTCGAATTAACTTACGTGGAATTGTTATATCAAACTTAGAATGTATAAAAGAAGCTAAAGACAATTACGAAACAAATTCAATAAAACAAAACGTAGTAATAGAATTGAATAAAAAATATAATGATTGCACTAAAATTTACACAGACGGATCCAAATCTATAACTGGTCTAGGAGCAGCATATATATGCCCAAGCAGAGGAGCTAAGGCTTGTTTTAAGGTGCTTACTGATGTATCTGTAATGCCACTAGAATTGATTGCCATTCATGAAGCTATTACATACTCTATTAATGAAGGTCTCTGCAAAATTGTTATAATGTCAGACAGCAAAAGTGCTATTCAACATTTAAATCGTTGTGTGTCAGGCAAAAGAGGTGTGCCGGTTGCTTATAAGATACTTCAAAAACTTCACGAAATCAATTCTAGTGGCAAAAGTATTAAACTGCAATGGGTCCCTTCACATATAGGTATTAGCGGCAACGAATAGGCTGACCGCTTAGCAAAAGAAGCATCTATTGAAGGTGAAAATGCATCAGTGAAACCATTTTATTCCGAAACATTGTCAAAATATATAAAGAGTTGTTATCTTAACAGGAAAGAATATTTTGATGAAAGATCAAAAGAAAAAGGTATATGGTATAAAACCATACAGAGTCAGCCTCTACGAATACCGTGGTTTATTAATTTAACATCAAGTCGACACTTTGTAGTGACCTTAAATAGACTTCGTTCTGGACATTATCCATGTAACAAGTTTGGACATCTTATGAAAAAAATTGAGTCTCCCAACTGTGAAGTATGCTGTGTTGTAGAAGATCTCCAGCACTTGTTGATGGATTGTGTCCGGTACCAGAATGAGAGACAAGAGTTTATTAAAAAATGTAAATTGAATATGTCAGACATTGGTGTGTTTCACAGCGTTCTGGCCCAACCGGTCTCGGAAGAGGCCAGAATGCTGTATCGCTTTATATGTCTGCCGCGACTTTCTTCAGACAATAACATAATAGGTTAATTGGCTTAGATGATTTGTTAATTTATATAAGTACACGATGGGACTGACGTGTCTGTAAAGATAAAAGTCCTTTAAATAAAGAGAGAAAAAAAAAAACGCTTCCTGTGGGATTTTAATAAAAAACTAATGATAACAACGCAGATGAAGACGAAGTAGAAGAAGATGAAAAGGAAGTTATTATTTTTGTTATTGACGGGATTGCTACCAGTTACGTCTTGTATCTAGTTTGTTTTTTGCAACTCCCCGATATTTCAGCACTGTTGCAAGGACCATGATCACTGAGTACATGGTAGCAATTCCGCTAATAATAAAAATTATTATCGTGTTATTGATCCTGAAAGTTTAAAACAATATTATTATGTCGAGAGGAAGTTAGTTCTAAATCTTAATATATATAAATCTCGTGTTACAATGTTTGTCCTCAATGGACTCCTAAACCACTGAACCGATTATAATAACATTCGCACACCATGTGCAGTTCGATCCAACTTGAGAGATAGGATAGTTTAAATCTCAAATTATAGTCGCAATTTTAATTTATTGCAAATTATTACTTTTGGGCGGTACGAAGTTCGCCGAGTCAGCTAGTATTTAATATGGATGTCATTTACCACACCAAAAATTAATAGTGTTGTACGTGTGTTGTTATTGTCGCGCGTGGAGTGGAGTAGAGTGGTGTGGTGTGGTGATGCGAGTGTGTGTCGTGTTGTAGCGGTGAGCTACGTGCGCGTAGCCTGGGTGTCGGGCAGCTGGTACCTGTACGACTGGTCCCGCAGCGTGCTGTACGTGTGTTGTTATTGTCGCGCGTGGAGTGGAGTAGAGTGGTGTGGTGTGGTGATGCGAGTGTGTGGTGTGGTGATGCAAGTGTGTGTCGTGTTGTAGCGGTGAGCTACGTGCGCGTGGACTGGGTGTCGGGCAGCTGGTACCTGTACGACTGGTCCCGCAGCGTGCTGTACGTGTGTTGTTATTGTCGCGTGTGGAGTGGAGTGGTGTGGTGTGGTGATGCGAGTGTGTGTCGTGTTGTAGCGGTGAGCTACGTGCGCGTGGACTGGGTGTCGGGCAGCTGGTACCTGTACGACTGGTCCCGCAGCGTGCTGTACGTGTGTTGTTATTGTCGCGTGTGGAGTGGAGTGGTGTGGTGTGGTGTGGTGATGCGAGTGTGTGTCGTGTTGTAGCGGTGAGCTACGTGCGCGTGGACTGGGTGTCGGGCAGCTGGTACCTGTACGACTGGTCCCGCAGCGTGCTGTACGTGTGTTGTTATTGTCGCGTGTGGAGTGGAGTGGTGTGGTGTGGTGATGCGAGTGTGTGTCGTGTTGTAGCGGTGAGCTACGTGCGCGTGGACTGGGTGTCGGGCAGCTGGTACCTGTACGACTGGTCCCGCAGCGTGCTGTACGTGTGCTCCGCTTCGATGCAGCACTGCCGCGTGCTGCTGCAGCACCGCCTCTCAAGAATGCATGGGCTCGCTCTCGATCCAACTGCGGGGTGAGTAAAAAATATATACACATTACACGATCATAAACACTATATAAGTATTGGTAGTCATTCAATATTTTATGTAGTTATTTGGAGATTTTTTAATGAAAAGAAGTTTATCCAATTGATGAATAAACAGGATGTACAAATCAATAGAACAGCTGATTAAATAATTTATATGTATCGAAAACACAAGTTAATACAATTAAAGTATATCTGTGAACTGAATAAAAAAAGGTAATATATTGATAAAGTAGTAATTGAATTATGTGTCAAATCGTTCCTACGATTTACAGAATATTTAGTTTAAGGTACATTTAAATAAGAAAATTTTAGTGAAAATTTAAAAGTTGGTAGCTTTTGAACAATCAGTAATTTACGAAATTCTCTTATTATTACTGTGTCAAATAGAATAAATAAAATATCTCTAAAAATTCACGCCTTTTGTACCGTTGTTCCATTGTTTTGTTTACCTGTATATAATACAAATCCTGACGTGCTGTTCCAATTTTCTTAATTATACGATGAAAAATTTATGTTGCTGGGATAGTGCCTGTCTTCTCTTACGTAAGCAAACATTTTAAATTACAACATTCAGTCCGATCGCTCGATTCTTTATATCAAATCTGAGATTGTTACGTACCACAAATTGACGTGCGGCCAACGAAAGACTACGATCTTGACAGATAGTGTCATTTCCTTACGGCTCGTGTACCCGTCCGCGGTGATAGGAGACCGGGAGCCTCATCGCTCGCGTGTTATAGGTTCATGTTCTGGTCGGTGTGGGGCGGGGCGGCGGCCGCCCTGGAGCGCGGCGACCTGTCGGGGGGCGGGCGGGCCGCGCTGGCCGCGCACCGGCTCGTGTACCCGTCCGCGGTGATAGGAGACCGGGAGCCTCATCGCTCGCGTGTTATAGGTTCATGTTCTGGTCGGTGTGGGGCGGGGCGGCGGCCGCCCTGGAGCGCGGCGACCTGTCGGGGGGCGGGCGGGCCGCGCTGGCCGCGCACCGGCTCGTGTACCCGTCCGCGGTGATAGGAGACCGGGAGCCTCATCGCTCGCGTGTTATAGGTTCATGTTCTGGTCGGTGTGGGGCGGGGCGGCGGCCGCCCTGGAGCGCGGCGACCTGTCGGGGGGCGGGCGGGCCGCGCTGGCCGCGCACCGGCTCGTGTACCCGTCCGCGGTGATAGGAGACCGGGAGCCTCATCGCTCGCGTGTTATAGGTTCATGTTCTGGTCGGTGTGGGGCGGGGCGGCGGCCGCCCTGGAGCGCGGCGACCTGTCGGGGGGCGGGCGGGCCGCGCTGGCCGCGCACCGGCTCGTGTACCCGTCCGCGGTGATAGGAGACCGGGAGCCTCATCGCTCGCGTGTTATAGGTTCATGTTCTGGTCGGTGTGGGGCGGGGCGGCGGCCGCCCTGGAGCGCGGCGACCTGTCGGGGGGCGGGCGGGCCGCGCTGGCCGCGCACCGGCTCGTGTACCCGTCCGCGGTGATAGGAGACCGGGAGCCTCATCGCTCGCGTGTTATAGGTTCATGTTCTGGTCGGTGTGGGGCGGGGCGGCGGCCGCCCTGGAGCGCGGCGACCTGTCGGGGGGCGGGCGGGCCGCGCTGGCCGCGCACCGGCTCGTGTACCCGTCCGCGGTGATAGGAGACCGGGAGCCTCATCGCTCGCGTGTTATAGGTTCATGTTCTGGTCGGTGTGGGGCGGGGCGGCGGCCGCCCTGGAGCGCGGCGACCTGTCGGGGGGCGGGCGGGCCGCGCTGGCCGCGCACCGGCTCGTGTACCCGTCCGCGGTGATAGGAGACCGGGAGCCTCATCGCTCGCGTGTTATAGGTTCATGTTCTGGTCGGTGTGGGGCGGGGCGGCGGCCGCCCTGGAGCGCGGCGACCTGTCGGGGGGCGGGCGGGCCGCGCTGGCCGCGCACCGGCTCGTGTACCCGTCCGCGGTGATAGGAGACCGGGAGCCTCATCGCTCGCGTGTTATAGGTTCATGTTCTGGTCGGTGTGGGGCGGGGCGGCGGCCGCCCTGGAGCGCGGCGACCTGTCGGGGGGCGGGCGGGCCGCGCTGGCCGCGCACCGGCTCGTGTACCCGTCCGCGGTGATAGGAGACCGGGAGCCTCATCGCTCGCGTGTTATAGGTTCATGTTCTGGTCGGTGTGGGGCGGGGCGGCGGCCGCCCTGGAGCGCGGCGACCTGTCGGGGGGCGGGCGGGCCGCGCTGGCCGCGCACCGGCTCGTGTACCCGTCCGCGGTGATAGGAGACCGGGAGCCTCATCGCTCGCGTGTTATAGGTTCATGTTCTGGTCGGTGTGGGGCGGGGCGGCGGCCGCCCTGGAGCGCGGCGACCTGTCGGGGGGCGGGCGGGCCGCGCTGGCCGCGCACCGGCTCGTGTACCCGTCGGGCGTGTGCGTGGACATCCCCGCCCGGCGCGTGTACTGGGCGGACGCGTACCTGGACACGCTGGAGTGCGCGCGGTACGACGGCACGCAGCGCCGCACGCTGGCCAGGCTGCCCACTGTGAGTACATATATACACGACTACGACAACTGACGGGTGATAAAATTTAATGCTACCGAAGCGACATCCTATATTGTTTGATACATTTTTGGTAACCCATCCGATGACTGACTGACTGCGAAAGTTGTTTAACTTTAACGACGAACGAACGAATTCCTTAATTTAATTTCCACTCCTTATTACATCTCCGCATGTTTTATCGTTCATCTTAAGTATATCGCATTGCATTTTTTAATTGTTATTCACAAAATTCAGACCATATCAACGAGCATCGGTGGTTCAGGGGTAGAGGTGGAAGGCTCGCTATGCGGGTTCGATTCCCAGCCGAGGATGGATTTTTACTAATAATTATTTAAAGTTTTACTTGCTTCGTGGTTGCATAAAAATACACAAATTTTTAAAACTAATATATCTTATTAACATACGCCTCACAGGACATACAAGACGTTAAACATGACAGTGGAAACGTACACAATGTTCTGTTTAAATTAACTATTAAATTATTTATTTGTGTTTCATACGTCGATATCTGATTATGTAATATTTCTTTAGTCCCAGAACGTGCACCAGTTAAGCGTGCTAGGCAGCGTAGTGTACGCGCCGGATCTATCCGGCTCCATACTGGGCATCGAGGACCGGCCCCCACTGGCGGGGGGCGCGGGGGGCGCGGGGGGCGCGGCCGGGGTGGGGGCCAGGGCGGAGCCTACACCGGTCATCAAACTGTCGGGCAAGGGGCTCGCTGTGGCAGTCTACCATAGGCAGGCGCAACCTGTAGGTGAGTGGTTGATATCATTTATTTTCAAACGAGACGCAACAAATAACTGTTGTGGTTGTTCTGTGATTGGGCGAAACTTTGAGTTGTGTAGTAAAGTCCGTATGTAAAAATGTAAAAAAAAATCTGTTTACTGTTTAGCGCATGATGAGGTCATCTTTAATTACAGTTATATTATATCCTAATACTTAAGCATATGTGTAAGTTTGTTTGTATTAATATAGCTGTGTTGATGGTCCATAAATAAAATAATAATAAAAATAACTCCGCCCATCTGCCATATATGACGGGCGGAGCTCATTAGACCCACCCGGCTCTCGACTAGCGTCGTCTCAACTCATGCGGTTGAAATTCTTTGATTTCTATGCGGATGCGGTTACTATACCAACTTCATACCGTCACCGCGTTGCCTCGCTCGCAGGCCGTGCGTAGACTGCGTGTTGACACCGCGGTGACCTCCCTATTTCCTTATATAAAAAGTGTCCTGTGCACGCGAGAAACGTGTCGTGCCTGCGCGCTCTTTCTCGCTCGCTCTCGTTGCGAATAGGGGTGGGTCTACTGCGCTATGATATTAATAAGTTAATGTTGATTATAACGACATTTGACGGACTAGTATGTAGTGATGTCAGTAGTAACACGTATCATTGTTTGTGTCAGTGTCTCACCCGTGCGCTCGCGACAACGGGGGCTGCGACCACATCTGCGTGACGTCACACCGCGGCCGCACCGCGTACGCGCGCTGCCTGTGCTCACACGGGTACCGGCTGCACTCACATGGGGACTGTCTGCGTGAGTATACTCATTATACGGGGGGGGGGGGGGCTGCGACCACATCTGCGTGACGTCACACCGCGGCCGCACCGCGTACGCGCGCTGCCTGTGCTCACACGGGTACCGGCTGCACTCACATGGGGACTGTCTGCGTGAGTATACTCATTATACGGGGGGGGGGGGGGCTGCGACCACATCTGCGTGACGTCACACCGCGGCCGCACCGCGTACGCGCGCTGCCTGTGCTCACACGGGTACCGGCTGCACTCACATGGGGACTGTCTGCGTGAGTATACTCATTATACGGGGGGGGGGGGGGCTGCGACCACATCTGCGTGACGTCACACCGCGGCCGCACCGCGTACGCGCGCTGCCTGTGCTCACACGGGTACCGGCTGCACTCACATGGGGACTGTCTGCGTGAGTATACTCATTATACGGGGGGGGGGGGGGGGGGGCTGCGACCACATCTGCGTGACGTCACACCGCGGCCGCACCGCGTACGCGCGCTGCCTGTGCTCACACGGGTACCGGCTGCACTCACATGGGGACTGTCTGCGTGAGTATACTCATTATACGGGGGGGGGGGGGGCTGCGACCACATCTGCGTGACGTCACACCGCGGCCGCACCGCGTACGCGCGCTGCCTGTGCTCACACGGGTACCGGCTGCACTCACATGGGGACTGTCTGCGTGAGTATACTCATTATACGGGGGGGGGGGGGGGGCTGCGACCACATCTGCGTGACGTCACACCGCGGCCGCACCGCGTACGCGCGCTGCCTGTGCTCACACGGGTACCGGCTGCACTCACATGGGGACTGTCTGCGTGAGTATACTCATTATACGGGGGGGGGGGGGGGGGCTGCGACCACATCTGCGTGACGTCACACCGCGGCCGCACCGCGTACGCGCGCTGCCTGTGCTCACACGGGTACCGGCTGCACTCACATGGGGACTGTCTGCGTGAGTATACTCATTATACGGGGGGGGGGGGGGGCTGCGACCACATCTGCGTGACGTCACACCGCGGCCGCACCGCGTACGCGCGCTGCCTGTGCTCACACGGGTACCGGCTGCACTCACATGGGGACTGTCTGCGTGAGTATACTCATTATACGGGGGGGGGGGGGGGCTGCGACCACATCTGCGTGACGTCACACCGCGGCCGCACCGCGTACGCGCGCTGCCTGTGCTCACACGGGTACCGGCTGCACTCACATGGGGACTGTCTGCGTGAGTATCTCTTATCTATTAGACAAGTCCGTCCGTGGTGCTGTTTCAGCGGCCAAACCGTAAGAGATAGATAAAGAGAATATTTAAGTTATAAGTTGAGAATAGTCTGATAAGACTACAAACCGGATGTGAGTAACGTAGCACTTCCGGTTTTCGAGAAATCACGTGATTTCTATTTCAAACGAAACCACACAAAATCTCCGAAATTCTCAATTAATTAAATACATTTTTTTTTTGGTGAACATTTGGTTCACTGGTTTGCTGGTACTCATTATAATATACTATAGTTTGCACTTTTGTCCTTAAACTACTGAATACACAAGGAACTATTGTACCAAACTTGATTCATTTTTTGACATTTCAACGTAAATTATATTTGCTTTGTCTTACTTTACTCTTTAAGTAGTATTATAATACGTTCTAAAGGATATGCGTGCGACAAGGGCGAGATCTTCGTAAACGTGAGTTACAATTAAGGGAGGGCGCTACTGTCTATGTAACTGATATACAAAATATGACGTTTACATCCTTGTGGCACTACAGCAGCAGTTTTAGGCTTTTTAGTGTCACTTTATTAAATTTATATTTTATGTGCATATAAAATTCAACATATTATCGAAAAACCTTTTCACAAATTGTTTTTTTCACCTTTTGTCTTGGAGGAAGTCGAATAGACTATAGACATCGAGGATAATGAGCCGCGTGATTGCAGGCGTGGAGATGTCCAGTTACCTTGTACTGGCTCGCGGCACCCCGCCCATGGTGCAGGCTCTACCCATTCCCGGCGTGGCGGGGGAGGGAGGCACGCATACAGGGGGCGGGGGAGGGGGAGGGGGAGGGACGCAGCGCTCGGAGGTGCCGCTGGATGCAGCCGCTCCTGCCACGCATCTCACGCGCCCCTCCACGGCCGCCGTCGACATTAAGGCCGGCATGTTGTACTACTGCGATGTGCACAGGTATGTGGTCTGAGGCCCGAGCGCGGCCCGAGTCGTATCGTTCTTTGGAAACTGAGCAGCGCCCCGCCCCAACGTAACGACAGACTGAATCCTTCCATGCGAAATTTGACGATGACGAAACGGTTCCGGAGCTGTCGAAATTCGCACTCGGGCCCTTGATACTTTACTATTATATATGTTATGATGTATTTATTTATTCATGGAAAACAAACAGCATGTATAAAACACAACAAACAAAATTATGTAGCATAGATAAGCCTTACACGGTTTTCACAAGTGCAGTATGCTTTATCCGATCCACTCACAAAGCCGTAGATTAATTTAGAAAAACACAGAAGTATAAAACGCGCACATACCCACAGAGAAAATAATAATAATTTAAATTAAGTTTTTTATTAAATGTATTATTAAAAAGAATACTGTTCGTTCTGAAATAATTTTCTCTCGTCGGAAACACGTCTACATCACTTGAATAATTAGTGCTAAAGGTTTGAGTTACTTTATTAAATTATGTGTATAATTTGTCGAACATAAATCAATAGATATAGATTGCAAATGCGAAGTAACTTGTTGTATAAAAAAAATCTGTGTCAATTATACTCAAAATATCAATAAGAACGAGTTTACATTAAAAAATATTCAATTCTTTCTATTTCATTTTGTACAAATCTCAAAAAGTCTGTGAGCTATACAAGTAAATAAATCACCGAAATCTGTGCCAAAATAGTATTGAACTTAAGTGTATTCAAAAAACAAACTAAATACTGTGATTCAGAACTTGCATGGAAAAATATTAAACATAACAGTAACGCCATCTATGGATGACTTTGATAATTAAATAATATTACTACAAACTTAACACATTTAACGTATTTTTTGTAAAACCAAGACATGTTTGATGTTATAATATTGGCATAATATGAACATTTTGTTATATTGTACGAAACTTAAATATCATCTCCAGCTCCAGTGCTCGATCAACGTTTGTTACTTTTGAAATCCCCTTACTCCGGCACTTAAATTGGCTTTTCATATTTCCTACTTCTAAAATTTACAACACTCTGTCCTTATCATGCTTTATGAGGAATGAAAAGGACAGACTGTCCATGTCCAGTTTACAAATAGCAAACACGAATAGCCAAACGAAGTGCTGCGATTAAATCATCCAATGTACAGGTATGAGATCGTACGACAGCGGCTCGACGGCGGCGGCCGGGAGGTGTTCATCAACGAGGACGTCGACAACTGTGAAGGCCTCGCCATCGACTGGATGAGTCAGTATACTATTCGCTTCATACTTTTATATACAGGGTGTAAAAAAACCATTATTGAAGTCGAAGGCCATGTATTTTCCACATCATGACGATCATTTTTTTCTTCTGGACCATACCTGGGAAATTTATGGTTGTGGAGATATTGAAGGTCCAAGTCAAATTTTTTTTCAAGATTAATACATTAATATTTTCAAAACGTTATTTAGAAACTTCTTTATCGACGCACTTACACACACGCACACACATACACACAGGCACATTCTTTGCGTAGCGCCACAGTAGCGCGCAGCGCTATACATTACGTACTGAAAAAAAAAGTTTTTTTTGAACTTAAAAATACATTTTTTTCCCACGTATAATATTTTGTAATATTACTTGTTTGGGTGTACAGAATGCGTAGTCATAGTCTTTTGTCATGGGTTTTTACAGCCTGTATATATTTTTATCAGTCGTTAACAATAAAGTCTGGACAACTTATAGCAATACATCATCATCATTCTATTGATTGTATAATAACATATATATATATTATTATATTGTTATATTGGCTTCTGTATGGGTGAACTGGACCCGCTGTCCAGTGCGAGTGCTAACGACTGCAGATGATCTATTGACCGCTTAACGTGGCTTCCGAAGCACGGAGGAGCTCGAGATAATACGTTTTTGGTCACCCATCCAATGACCGACCATTGCGAAAGTCGCTTAACTTTCACGATTGCAGGCCGAATGCGCTAATCACCTGCGCCATCAAGCTCCTCTCACTATAGCAATTATTTAGTCCTAAACTTAGCGGAGCTTGTACTTTGGAAACGAGTTTGTGAACTTTGTGTTATTTTGTCATCTTTATCGATCTCTTAATATTTTCTTTCGGTATTAAACATTACAAAACAAATTTAATTGCTTTTCGTAAAATTTGGTATTTTTAACTTTTAAACTCTCAGCACCTCAATCCAAAACGCGGCCAAAGTTAGTTTTGGTTTAAACCTAACGTTGTATCAGTCTTCTTTTTAGCATAAAAAAATAACATCATCAGTTTTAGTCCCGAGGGTCTACTCTCTTCCTCCGAAACGGAACTTTCGGTAGCGAAGTTCAAACGAAATTTAATTTTGTCAATATAAGGTTATACTTAATTTGAACGATAAACTATCAAATTAAAGCTTTCTTTGAGTAGGCTTAAAAAATCTACACCTCAATCAATATTCCTACGACGAATATTATTATAATTAAAAATGAACCAGAAACAAAGTAAGAAAAGTGCGAAGTTCCGATCGAAATTTCGTGTCTCGTTGAATTAGAGTAGGCCTCCAGGTTTAACTTTGTATGTTTTGTAATAAGTCTGTCGATTGCTTTGAAGGAGCATCTAGTTAGGGGGCGTCCATAAATTACGTGAGGTGTTTTTTTTGGATTTTCTGTCCCTCCCTCCCCCCCCTGGTGAGATGTCGCGAGATTTTATTCAACCCCCTCCCCCTTCCCCCAATCTCAAGTGAGATTATTCAAAATGTGAGTTTCTTTCGTAAACGCGTTGGATTGTTATTGTAAAAAGAAAAAAAAACGCTTCGTGCTTTTATTTACGACTAGTTAAGACTAGTAATCAATATTGGTGAGAGTTTTAAGTGTAATAAAAATTTAACAATAGAATACTTAATAGATACTACTGTGAAAAAAAATTGCGTGATATTTGCCGAGACCCCCCTCTCTCCAACGTAAGATTAGATGAGATTTGACTCGACCCCCTCCTCCCCTTAAACGTGTCACGTGATTTATGGACGCCCCCTTATTTTGGTTCCCAGGCGGGTTATTGTACTGGACGGACGCGGCCCTCGGCCGGGTTTCGGCAGCCCGCCTCTCGGACGCGCGGCTGCGGGTCACCCTCATATCCGGCCCCATGGACCGCACTGACCGCACTGACCGCACTGACCGCACTGACCGCACCGACACCAACTCCAGCTCGGCCAGCGAGCGCCGCGACTACAGCCCGCGCTCCATCGCGCTGCACCCGCAGAGAGGGTCTATATCTCAAAATAATATATATTTTACCGTTCGTTGCATGTATTTTTTCCGTCCGCTGCCTCTCCTATAATGTCCTTCCTAATGTTACGTTTACGTTTGGTCGTTAGCCCGAATGCGCGCGCCGATGGTATTAGGGTAATGAGCGGAGTCGAGTGAGTACGTATTCGGGTAGGTTTCGTTTTGGTTACCCGACACCGTCTTTCAGCCCGTATACCAGTGTAAATATTGCTTCGGGTGCCCGAATCGGAGTAATGTATTTCGTGCACCCGAATACGAGCTAACGACCGAGTGCAATCGAACAATAAGTAGTGGTTTTTTGTGTTACTCTAAAAGGGCCACAAACGAAGAATCTTGCTGATAAATTAATTTATCACTTTCAAAAAATAATGCTTATCATCAAACACAGCTTGAGGAGACTTCATGCTTAAATTTCACATGAAAGACGTGACACCATAAGATACATATTTTTGCACTACCTACTCTGCTGTGATGAACGATCAAAAGACAAGTAAAACGGTTGATAATGCATCTGTTAAATTTCTATACTAATATTTTGTTTTTGAACGAACACCGATCTGTACAGAGGTGGCGCGCGCATGGCTACGTCCTCGATGGCACGATAATATTGTCTATACAGTATCGTGACTCGGCCCTGTCCTTGAAATAACTGCCTACGGCCGAGCGGGGCGTTAACACGCGGTAGGGCTGCCCGCCAACAGTATTTTAATTTCATCTACATAATTGAGTTTCTTTCTTTATTTAATTGACGACCTCCGTGGTCGAGTGGTTTGTACGCCAGGTTTCATGGCGTCGCTGACTCGAGAGGTCCCGGGTTCAAATCCCGGTGGGGGCAGATGTTTGTGTGATGACAACGAGCATTTGTACTCCAGTCATGGATGTTTAATATGTATTTCTATATAAATATACTTATATATGTAAAGTATATGTATTCTATCCGTTACCCTCAGTATCCCATAATACAAGCCTTATAGTGCTTACTTTGGGGCTAGGCTAATTGGTGTGAGTGTTGGAAATATTTATTATTATTATTATTATTTTCTAGTTTTGTGATTGTAAATATTTTATTTTGACGTTATAAGTTCATAGTAAAACTCAAAAGTTTATTTTATTCTTCTTAGAGCATTTAATTTTTATTTTATTACATATAAATTTAATGGAGCTTTACTCGCATTGTCCTTTCATTAGTCCTTTCATTTGATACCCATATTGTATGAGTGCAATGAAAATAACTAGCACGCCATCTTGAGTGTTCCGCCATGTTGGATTTACAGTGACGTCACTTTATATTTCGAGCTAGTCTCCGCAAGCCCTTTAATTTGATACCCATATCGTAGGAATTCATTAAAATAACTATTCCGCCATGTTGGATTTAGAATGACGTCACACAGCTAACCGTGCTTTTTATCAAAACGTGTATTTCAGCTCAACCGGTTGAAGATATCTGCTTCAAAATTGTGTCGCAAGATTCCACCCGAACAAACATAGTTACATACCTACCTATATTGCAAGTTAATCAAAAGCTTGTAAAAAACCCGACTGCTGATTTTTATTCTTACATAATTCAATAAAAGAATATTATTTTAAACATACAAGTTATATTTATTTGTAAGTCATGGCGCAGTCGGGTAAAAAGGAAATTATATAATTATTAATATTACTAGGTAGGTACTGTAGGGATCGTTCCATGCAAACTAATTATTATCAACAAACGAATATTTTATTATTTTCCAGCTATCAATTCCTGTCAACAATCCGTCTCTTTTCCAAATTACCTAATGACCTGTCGACCTACCATTTCTTACTCTCGTAAATTATTTCATAATGATATTTCATCTAATTCAATAATGTATGTAGTTTATTATTTAATAATGTATGTAGTTAAGTAAGTAGATAGCCTAGTCTAGGACACTACCTACCTATTATGTAGTTTTGTTTTTCACTCGAGCGTAGGTAGATTACTCGTTTGTCTCTTTTTTCACCCTATCCTCTTATTTATATATTATTCCAGAAATTTTGCCCGATGGAAAAATCGAAATACCTAAATATTAAAAACAAATTACGTAGTAGTAGTAGATAGGTATATAAAAATTATTCTATAGTCTTACTTTCCAATATTTCAGGTATTTAAAAAAATGATATCTCGTTATTGAAGAGTTCAAGCAACCAAACACAGCACAATATCGTCTATTGTTCTTTGCCATATTAAATTATGTAGGTATCTTAATTCAATCAAATATTTACAATACAAATCGCACGTTTAAGCACGGCTAACTGCATAAAAAACAATTCACACCGTTCGGTCGTCGCTGCGGCGCATTCGCGACTGGGTGCCCACCGAGAGTCCCGCGAACTCGAGAAGCGTAGGTATGACTCGCTTTCCGACCTTTTGTATGAAGATAGAATACTGTATAGATAATATTACCGTCTTGATGGACAATATTTTAAATCAAGTATCATCTTTGTCATTGTGAACTTTTTAATATAGCACTTGGTTAAAACCATCAAGAAGTCATATTCAAAACACGGTGCTGAATATTTAGTTGAATTAAAATCTCCACGCCCGGCAATCCACGCTTTTGGCGAACTCAAATTAACCCTCTGATATCGGCCATGTTTGCTACAAATTCGTTATATTACTAGTAGTAAAAGGTGAAAAAATGCCGAATGGATACCATTTATCGCCAAGTTTAGGATAAGTTTGGTAATATTGTTGATTACAGTCTTGATAGATCATAAGCTCGTCGTCAATACCGCTCAATAACTTCCAAAATCATACAGTATGATAAACCGAAAATGAAACAAAGTTCGTTCGCTTCGCTTAAGTCGATAAACACACCTAAGGGGCTGTTCAAGTATTACGTAAGCACTATAGGGGGGCAGGGGGATCTTTGCTTTGCTTATTTTTGATGACATGGGGGGGGGGGTCGAGATGGTGATTACGTCAGCATCATGGACGAAGCCTATTTAAGTACTGCTGCTCATGAAGCTCATGAAAACTTATGAATCAATAAAAAAAAGCAGAATACATTAAAGGAAAAATGCATACATTAAAACGGGGTACCAATGTTTACGTAAGGATGGGGGGAGGGGTAAGAGCTTTGCTTACTTTTGCTGACGAGGGGGAGGAGGGGGTAAATAATTGTAATAAATCTGCTTACGTAATACTTGAACGGCCCCTAATAAATAGATTCACCGAGAGCAATCCAACTAAAAGACGCGAGCGATGCGAATTTATTGTCATCAGACGTCTATTGATGTACCCACAGCTGGGGCACAAGACTTCCTTAAGATCAGCCTTTTTATATCCTCACTTCCGTAGAAGTGTCACACACATGTCTTTCCTATTGAGGCATTTAGCCATGACTCACCAGGAGCACCCACTCCGGTTTGATATATGCTAAAGACTGCAGGTGCGGCCGGGACCAACTACTTAACATGCCTTTCGAAGCATGTATGAGTTTGAGATAATACATTTTTAGTCGATAATCACAAGACCAGCCATTGCAACAGTTGTTTTACTTTCATGTCAGCAAATCGAACGAGCTAATCACAGCGTCATTGAAATCATCAAAAGTTGTGAGACGAGAATTCCGGCAAATCTAGCGAAGTCAAGTACCGCTACCTTACCGTGGTAGGGAGAAGGGCAGAATATTGTTGCTCAGAAATTAATTTGGCATAACATACTTGACATAATCTTTTTTAACCTAAGGCAAACCTTTTTAAAGAAAAATTTCTAGAAAAAAAAATATGGGTGCGTGTACTTAAGTACGCGCGTGAGAAGTTATACTTCTTTTTGGAATTATTAAAAAATGGGTGCGTGTACTTATGTAGGCGCGTGAGAAGTTATCCTTCTTTGGCATCGTTTAAAATTAGTTTTTAATTGTATGCAAGTAATTAATTACAATAAATTAATAAAAAGTCTGGAAAAGGACACAGTCAATAAAGTTCAGTTTTAATTTGAAAAAATAAATAAATAATCAAAATATTCAATTAAAATCGCTACTTATAATTTATTAGAACATATGTGATTTGCACTTGTATGAAACTCAAACACGTATTCCGAATATACAAACTAGAAACATGTGGATAAATATTATAAATATGAATACCTATAACTGTTACTTTATTACAAAAAATAAAGATGTGGTTTTTGGTTCTACTACAGCAATGGTCAAGAGATGGCGCTGTAGTCTCCTGAATCGCGCTTTGGTTCCGTTGTTCCAGATTAATAAATACTTTTGATAGGCCTTCACAATGCAGTCGTTAGCACCCACTAAATAGAGATTCTATTTCTATTTTGTTGGTAGATTTTCTTAATGTGCGGTAAACACAAGTGATGCGCGCGCATCTTAAAATTTCACTCTCATCATTTTTGAAGTTATACTTCTTTAGGCGTGTTATGAAAAAATGATGAGAGTGAAATTTTAAGATGCGCGCGCATCACTGTAACACAAAAATTAACAGATTTTTCAAAATTAACAAAAATTAACAGCATGAAGTTGGTCTTGTCCTTTTCCAGACTTTTTATTAATTTATTGTAATTAATTATTTGCATGCAATTAAAAACTAATTTTAAACGATGCCAAAGAAGGATAACTTCTCACGCGCCTACATAAGTACACGCACCCATTTTTTTCATAACGCGCCTAAAGAAGTATAACTTCAAAAATTTGTGGCTAAAAAAATTGTGGGTTACCTACAATGCGAAGAGATGACGCTGCCTTGCAGCAAAAGGCTAGGAAAATTTTGACGCGGCCAATAGGGCCGTGGTAGCATAATGGTCAGTGCATTCGCCCGGATTGCGAAGGGTGCGGGTTCGAGTCCCGTCCGCAACATCTAGCAGTTAAATGCTTAAAAATTAATAAAAGCATACTTTTTGTTTACATAATTATATTTGGCCGAATGATAGTAAGTCCGAATTCACAATGGCATACTGTTAAGATGGCAGATTTTATTAGGCATCATTTCGTTAAATAATCGCTGTTTGTGATCAGTGGGTTGGGTTAGTGTTGTTACCTAAACTTAACGCGACCCGAGCGAGAGAAGCGAACGTGCCATAACAGGAGAAGCACCAGCCACCTAGAATTTAATTATATAAAATATAAATAAACAAGGAAAAATTAAATATTAGTATGCCACAAGAGACGATTATGACTGCAAACTTTCTGCGATATGATGGTTCTTCTTTTTAATTATTATGGATACTAATGCCTAACGATGATTATGGCTTACAAAATTATGCGTTTGAATGTCTGTTAAATGAGTGAATGCCAAATGTTTTTCTGCAAAATGAAGTTGATGCCATCCGTTGATATGCATATACATATAAATAAGACATTAATAGTCATATGATACAAGGTAGACCCGCCGTCGCTACGTTGCTATCTCACGTCCCCTATAGGCGCGCGTGCCGACTGAAATATTGTCAAATAAATTCATTGAATTGTGCCAGACTTCACCTGAAGTTCTGTAGTCCTCGGGGCTTCAAAAGCAATGAATATGACGTAATTATTGTAGGAGATGAACGTGTGGGAATGTTATGTTTCATTGACATTCAGCCACAGTTGTTGGATTTGCATTAAAGTACTCGGTAAAATATACTATAGCATTATGAAAGATGATGTGTATTTTCATTATCGCATCGTATTGCTTTTTACGTGACAAATGATAAGGGAGATTAGTGAGAAGCGGTGGGAGAAAGCAGGCACTAATAGCCGCGTTGGCACTCCGTTGTTTGACATCCGTTCAATACCTGTTTTTAGGGAATCGATGG